GCAGCCTGGGCTCGCTGGGGAGGGGGGGTGAGGGAGCAGCCTGGGCTGGGGGAGGGGCTGAGGGGGTCTCAGTGGTGCAGCTGCAGGGACTGACCCTGGAGCAGGTTTGGCGAGTTGAACCGGTTCCCTTTGCCCCGCCCCGGACCTGCCCGGCTCGGTGACTCCAGGCGGGGGCTGTAGGGAGGATCCAGCCTGAACTCCTGGCTCGCAAAGCCCTTGTCTGCTCTGGGATGGGCAGATCCTTGGGGGGGGGGGGGGGGGGGTTGTGAGCCCGCTGGGTTCGCTGAGTGCAATGACCCCCCCGCCCCCGAGCTGGGATCCAGTCAGACTGGCCTGCTGGCTCCATCATGCTGGGTCATCCCAGTGTAGGGCGACCAGATGTCCCGATTTTTTGGGTATTTTTCTTATATAGGCGCCAATTACCCCCCACCCCCATCCCGATTTTTCACACTTGCTGTCTGGTTACCCTATCCCAGTGCGGGGATGGTCCCTCCTGCCACGCCGCATGGCAGGAAACAGCCCCCCCGTCTCAGGGAGCCAGGCATCTCAGGTGCCACCCTGCCAGGCGCCCGCACCCCCCCCCTCCCCAGGGGCCCGGGGGAGCTCCGGGAGAGCAAGGCCCAGCGCAGGGCTGCGTGGTACCCGGCGGCCCTAGATGCAGGCGCAGTCCTGGGTGAGGATGTTGGGCACAGTCTCGTACTTGAAGGAGTAGCCGCCGTCGGAGGTGGTGCGAACGCGTAGGGAGCGCATGGTGCTGGGCAGGGCCGCACAGCACAGCCGGAAGCCCAGCGTGTGGCTCAGGGTGTGGGCGTCGGAGCAGCTGCCGTGGCAGTAGTGGAAGACGAAGCTGCTGGGGTGCACGATCCACTTGTCCCAGCCCAGCTCCTCGAAGGAGATGTTGAGGGCGGCCCGGTGGCAGTCAGCGTGGGCTGCGGCGTCCTCTGACGGGCGCTGCAGCAGGTTGAGGGCAGCCGGGGACCAGGGCACGGAGGAGCGGCGGGCTCTGTCCGGCCCTTTGGGCTTGGTGGTGGCCATGAGGAAGGGCATCTTGTCTGCATCGGCCGTGCAGGGGCAGCCCGGGCAGCGCACCAGCAGCACAAAGAGCTTCTGGGAGACGTAGTGCAGGAAGGGCGCGGCGAAGTGAAAGACCGTCCACTGCTCGGCTGCCTGCACCACAGTGGCTGCCACGGTGACCCGGCCCTGCCCCGACAGGATCAGCACGTCTGCCCCCCCTGCGGAGCGGTTGGCAGCAGCTGATGAGCCAGGGGGCACGAGGTCAGGGCCTGTGTGGAACCAGAGCTGGGTGGATGTCACCACGCGGCTCAGGGTGTGAGGTGAAGGCTGGAAGAGGTAGGTGAAAACGCTCTCGTCCTCCGGGAGCTCGTCCGGCTGGGGTGGCTCACATGGCACATCTGCAAACGGGTAGCAAAGGTCAGCAGAGCAGCCGGGAGCCCCCAGGCCTGGGCCTGCCCAGCGCGCCCCCGTACAGGAGGTGCCTGCAGGGAATGGCGGGAACCAGGGGCCAGGGCTCTTGGCTGCACCAAATCAGACTTGAGAACAGCAGGTCCGGAATTTGGGTCTTCAGCATGAACCATTGGGTTCAGGAGGAACTCGGTGGGACCGCAGGGAGCTGGGGGTCAGGCTGCAGGGGCACCGGCAGAGATGTGTGAGAGGAGCCCAGCCGGGGCTGGGATAGCAGGGGGCTGTGGGTCGGGACTGAGGGGCACTGGCAGAATGGGGGGAACCTGGGCTGGGCTAGCAGGGCCCTGCGGGGCATCAGCAGAGGTGTGTGTGTGTGTGTGTTTGGGGGGAGCTTTGCTACCTGGCCCATTAGGTCTCTGGCAGCTCAAGGCACCAGTCTCAGTTACACCCGGCACCAAGCGTCTCACATTCCCCCAGAGCTGGACGCCCCGTCCCAGCCTGCGCCAGGGGAGGCGCCCGCAGGACAAGAAGGGCCTGACACCTCGTGTCAGACAGGAGCAACTGCACGGCTCGGTGTGACTCGGGATCTTGTGGAACCAGGGGCAGGGGCCAGACACCTTTGCGGTGCCCCCTCTGCAGCGTGGCCTGGGACAGGGCTCGCTCGGGGCCGGGGTCACACCCACTGAGCCCAGGGCTGAAGGGGGACAAGGCGCCAGCCACTTACAGGCATGGCCTGGTTTCCAAAAGCAGCTCTGAGCTGTGGGGCCGTGCGGTCCAGGACACTGGCCACGGGACAGAGGGGAGACTGCCCTAGAGACTCCAGCCCCACCACTGCATCGGCCTTGCCTTCCCTTGCCCCCCGCCTGTATCCATCCCTGCCGGAGCACGCACCTAGAGAACCACCACCCGGACGTGCAGTCCCAGA